AGAAAACCAAAGAAACAAGCTGAGCAAGGGTTGCTTTCTCAAAAGATACCTATAAATTAAAAAATAAAGTCCAGAAGACAAAGACAAAGAACAAATTCTGAATGGGGAGGAACAATATTAGAAATCCAAACTTACCAAGAATCCACTTAGCCTTACTGTTGCAGGATACTTGGTGACACTGTGTAAAAGGCACCTTCTGACTGGTTTAATAAAGAGCCGAATGGAGGATGAAGATTAACAGAAACAGGTTAACTACATTAAAGAGCTCGTGGGGAACAAGTCCAAGCTAAAGGCGGAGCTCTCATAATTAGTGATAATGTTCTGTGTCATTATTTGTGGGCCAACGAGAAAGACCAACTATACTCTATACCCTAGATGTGAAAGCAGGCTAAAACCCACATCCGTATTATCTCTGCTCAGATTGAATTAATGTGGTCCAGAATTGCTACCTGGCAGAATCAAGCAAAAAGTCTTTGGTGGAAGAAGACATCAATATTCAGAGATCCAAATCATCTCTACTATTTTTATTTCTATTTTTGTAGCTGTTGCTATCACAGGGATTAAGCCTATGGCTTCATGCGTGCTGATGAAGCACCTACCAATAAGCTACATCCCTCAGCTCCATTGCTTTTAAGACAGAATCTTACTACATAGTCCTGGGTGGCCCACAATTCAATATGTAGACCATGCTAGCTTTGAACTTACAGAGTTCAAGATTAATAGAGCCTGCCTCTGCCTCATGAATGATGGAATTGGAGACACTATTTCACAGATAACCAGACACAGACCAAAACAATAAAAATCAAGAAAAAAATAAATGATCACAGAATCAGACTCACAACAGGTTGAGACAGGGAAAGAAAGAAAGGAAGGAGAAGGGAAATGAGAAACGGAGAGGGAGAGAAGAAGGGAGGGAGGGAGGGAGGGAGGGGAAAAACCTAAACACACAATGAGAACTCCAGACGAGAGGGTAAGGGTGCCCAAGCACTGTGTAGGTAACAGAAGCTAAAAGGCTCCCAACACTGATGGCAAATATCAAGTTGCAGAAACAAGATGCCCTGGGCAAACAGCTGGTAGGGAAACACCTAGTTAGCATACTGAGGCCTCAGCAACAGCACTAAAGTCAGAAAGGAAACCAAAAGAAATGTAAGAACTCTACAATGGCTAATATTAATCAACCAATCAATAAAGTCACTATACTAGGTACATAAAAACAAGGAATATATTTCAAAAAAAATTAGATAGATGATAGATAGATAGATAGATAGATGATAGATAGATAGATAGATAGATAGATATGAGATTCATCAAAACAAGACATAAATACCTGCAAAAAGTGTTTAAAGCCTATTCTAGGTACATCAAAGTAAAGTTTCTGAAATCCAAAGGTTAAATCCTAAAAATAGTAACGGATCATCTTCAAAGAAGCAACAGCAAAACTTAGTAGAAGAGACAAAGAAGCTAGACAGTCAAGCGATAGCATTTTCCATGCTAATGAAACTGTCAAGCAAGATTTACAAAGAGAGGGTGGGCTCTGGGTGCAGCTCAGGGGTGGAGAACTGACGCAGCACGCAGGGGTCACTTACATTCCGTCACCAGTACCACAGAAAAGAATAAATGCAACTCAGATTTGAAAATATACTTCAAAAAACACTAAGACTTTATCACCACCTTACACATTTAAAAAAATGCTGTTCTGCATGCAACTGGGAAATGTGGAGAGAAATAAAAAAGCAATTAAAGCAAAACTTCATGGCCAATTATAAACACTGCCAACGTAAATAAAACACCAAGTGTTTATGTATATACATATATATGTATGTACTGGAATTACATAGTAACAAAAAACAACACAGCACATAAACCCTAAGTGGCCACGTTCTCAGGAAAGCACTGTTTTATGACTATGAAAACAACTAGAGTCAATCTGATGGAGGGGGGGAGGTTAGGTTCAATTCCCAACACCTCAAAAAAGAAACGAAACATGTATTTATAGTCCTTTCAATAATAAATATGGAAACGGCCTTGTACTAGAAAGCAAGTCTTCTAATGCTCTTGAGAACTTACACACTGCCAAATGCAGTGACAGGCAAACACGGTACCCACAGGCCCGAGGGATCTCTTGTGCCACTCCAGGCTTGTTTCATGTATAGATATTAAACTACCCTGTGGAGACAGTAACCGGGCTGTTCTAATGCGGGGATCCCATCATGCCAGTGGGCTGAGTCCTTACAAAGGGTATGAAGGGGCAGGACCTCTCAGAGTTTAAGTGGTAAAGCCAATTCTTCAAGATCGTGGTCACATCCACGTCCATCTATAAGAACTGTACTTTGAAAGTGTGTAATTATTGGTACAAAAAAGAAACTTCTTGAATTAACTACCTACTCTGTACTCAAAATAGTAACATTAATATTCTGAAACCATGAAAATAGATGTTTAAAATTTTCTAATTCACATGCTTCTACTCCATCTCTCATCTGGTCATTTTAGGACCAAATGGAGTGAGGTTGGTTCTGAAATGATTTTATAACACTCCTCTAACTACGGGATAATTATTTGTAACACTCCTGTAACTGCGGTGTAACTATTTCAATTGTTCTGCCACTCAAGAATCACCTGATTTACATAAATGCTGGTTAAGAACAATAGAAATCCTAAGATACTTAATTAAAATGTCACAGATGATTTAATCCTCTGTCAAAACAGAGATTATTTAAACTTCTATTTCATTTCCTTTAAAAAAATCTTATTTACTTTATTTTCTCCACAGAAACAAAACTGGAATAAATGTCCAAGTATTTCACCAATCAAAACTTTAAAATGACTCTGGTTAACCACAAATTGATTCAAGTAGTTATGTACTTTTTCTGAATTTATTTTACTGAGACATGTTTGACAGCAATAGCATCATATAGAAACTGAATTACTGTTCTACAGAATTACAAATCATTTCACTGATAATTTTTCTTAGCCACTCACATTAAAAGGTCACTGAGCGTTAGATGTTAGGTTCTGTTAAGTAGTACATTCATTAAACTCACTTCGTGTGTGTGTGTGTGTGTGTGTGTGTGTGTGTGTGTGTGTGTGGTATCTAGAATTCTCATTTTCACACATCTGTTGGACATTGAAAAACCAAAAAAAACATTCAATTATTTTTAAAAATGCAGAAAAAATGACTTCAACTATTTACCAACTATAAAAGGTAATACAGAAAAATTAAGATGAGGAAATGTAATGAATGTCATAAAGTCATCATTTACTGTACTTAGATTACTAAGCATATAATTGCAGTACGAATAAAAATTACCCAGAGTCAGATACTGGGGTTCAGCCCGAAGATCAGAAAAGCAAGGTAGCCAATAACTTACTCTTACCTCTACCTCAGACCAAAATGGTGATCCTGCCTCCAGGAATCACAGAATGAAACTGAGATGTCTCCTCCCATCTTAAATTCCTCTCTACTGCTGGGAGTAAAGGTGTGTACCACCACTGTTCAGCTTCTATGGCTAACTAGTGTGGCTACTGGGATTAAAGGTATGTACCACCACTGCCTGCTCTGTATTGCTGGCCAGTGTGTCTGTCTTACTCTCTGATCTTCAGACAAGCTTTATTTATTAAAACACAAAGGAAATATCACTATATTTCCCCTTTCCTGCCTAAAATAAAAAGGCTATAACTAATATAATAAAAACTATATACAACAACTATATACAATATATACAGGCAATAAATATATCAATAATGTCTGGTCCATCTGCATCTGACAACTTCAGATAATCTGCTCCATATCTAGCCTACCTTGTGAGCCCAAAGTCTTGTACCTAATTTAGTTCCTATCATAACTTGCTTTCTGCGTCTGGTAAACAAGGAAAACTATAACTATCTAGTCTTCAACTCCCTCAGAGACCCAAGAAGGAAATAATATTAACTAAGTAAGAAGTGCAGGCAAGCAACTTTTGAAAATTGTGAGAAATGACAGAAACAGTTGGCTGCCTGGACAGTCACCCAAAGTTCCTCTGCAATATTGGGGGAGCCATCTTCAGCCTATGGGCAATATCTGATAGACTTTTCTATAAAATAAGGGTTTTGAAGGACTGTCTTGCCTGGTCTGGGCAAGATTTGGGAGACACTCTCAAGTGTCCTGCTTGTCTAATTAGGACTGTATATTGTCAGTAGTTAAAACAAGGGCAGTTTCTTGCCCAGTGGCTTATATTTGCCACAAAGAAAGCAAACTCCATTAGGAGTTTCTTTGATGCCCATCATCTTCTCTAAAGTAGACTGGTGCTGTCAGTAGCAGACATGTCTCATTATCATAAAAACAGAAAAAAGAGGCTATGTTATTAAAGCATCTTAAATGCCATATTCTATAGATATCTGAAGTGTTTGAAGATGACTTATTTAAATTATATCTTTGTTTCACCTTGAAAACATACCTAATGTGACAAGTTCAATTATAATAGGTGATTAACTACTAATCTGCATTTTCTAAACAATTGGTAATAATAATTTTCAAGGACTAAAAATTTGCATTACATTTTAAATGAGTTGTATAAGTACAATACCTTTAACAAGAGTAGAAATGAATATACAGTACATTCAAAAATTAATCTCAAATTTGTATCAATATGTAAAATTTGTATACAATGTGCAAAAGTCCAATCCAACATAAAACATTTAAAACTAGTAGTTGCTTTTTAAAAATAGATTCAATAATCTACCTTTCTATCTTATCTACATTCTCCCTTTCTCTTTCAGAGTAGATTCTACCCTTTTATCCTATCTTATACTGACTTTCGAAGGACAGGAGAGCCATGGCTGGTCCCCAGGACCTGAGAGGTCATCCAGTGTGAGGTCATCCGGTGTCTCAGTCTGCCTTAGAAAGATGTATGCCTATCCTCAACCCCCTTTCTCACATTAATGTTTTCTCTGTAACAAAATACGAGTCAGAGTCTAAAGTGAAACCTTTAAAATGAGACTAACAAGCAATATTAAGTACTTACTGTCTTGTTTCGTAACCGAATGATGTCTGAAACAGAGCCAGCTCCGCAGTACTCCATGACAATCCAGAGGTCTGTGTTCTTGAAGTAGCTGCCATAGTACTTCACCACATAGGGGCTGAAGAAAAGGACACTTATGTTCAGTCCATATGCAAAGATTTTTTCTAAATCCTAATATAAAGTATTCGCAACATTTCATGTTTCAATTAATAAAAGTAATGAGTTATCTTCTATTTACATTGAGTCATCTGCAGCTAGAGCCCAGCAACTGTGTATAATTAGGTTTGACTTCACGGATGAAAAGTTAACAAGATTACAAGCCAGAGGAGACCCAAGTGTTTCAAGTGATTCCCAACAAAAATAATGCTTCATTTTGGAGAAGTATTTACTACTTAATATTAGAAACAAATGGAAGAATTTTCCTTTAACAAAAACATGTTAAATATAACTGCTTTTATTAATGTTCAACTTCAAAATGATGTAAATTTCAATTAAGCCAAGCTGGATATTTTTTTCTTTCATGTTGTTCTTCATACCATTCTTGAGAAAAAAATCATTTACACAAATAGTATATATTCAATCAATATCATTAACAATTGAAGGGTATTTCTGAACTGATAGTTTAAATCTTCCAGAGAAAAATAAGCTGTTTATACACAAGTTGTTGATAGAAAAACTTAGAATCAAACAATAAACTATATTACAATTACTGATTATTAAATATATGCTACATACACTGGTATATACAGTATCTGTGGAAGAGTCCTTTACTCTGTGTGAATATATGTCACCGTGGTTGGTTTAATGAAGAAGCTGACTGGTCAATAACTGAACGAGGTAAGGTTAGGGGGAGAGCCAAAGAGAAAATGCTGGGAAGAAGGACAGACTCAGGGTAGCAAGCAGACAAAGAAGAAACAAGATGGACATGCCATACTGAGAAAAGGGACCAAACCATGTGGCAGAGCATAGATAAAAATATGGGTTAATTAAAAATGTAAGAATTAGTAACAACCTGAGTTATTGACTGAGCATTTATAATTAATATTAAGCCTCTATGTAGTTATTTGGGAGCAGCTTCCAGGACAGAAACTTCTGCCTACACTTACCTAATTCAAAAGAGACAGAGTATTCAAAATCACAGAAAACACAAATGGGTTAAACTATAAAACAGCGCAAACTATGTTGCACACAACTTTATATAAACAAATCTTAAAGGAGGACTAGATCGCAGTGGGACAACCAGAAGATGTGGTAGACAGAATTTCATCTAATTAAAATTATTTAAAAAATTATTCTAGGGGCTGGAGTGATGCTTCAGTGGTTAAAAGAACTGGCTGCTCTTCCAGAGGATCCAAGTTCAATCCCGAACACCCACATGGTAGCTTTACTGTGACTTCAGTTCTATGGGATCTGATACCTTCTTCTGGCCTCCACGGGCACGAGGCACAAATGTAGTGCAGAGACAGACATGCAAGCAAACCACCCACACACATGAAATAAAATAAATAAATCTAAAAAAGAGAAAAAATTTAATAACTCCAACCCATGGGTGGCAAAGAGAGAGACGATGCTTTGAAAAATGGCCTGGGGAGAAGAGCTAGAAGAACCACAGTTTGTTCAGAGGACGGCTCGTGTACAGGACGCATCTTGTAATGGCCATTATCAAAGCGAGGCTACTTTACTAGGTGTCAGTGTCAGAGAAACAAAATAGAAGAATGAGATAAGAAAGTGTTACAGGACCAGCGAGATGACTCAGCAGGTAAAGGCTGTTCACCTCCAATCCCCAGGATCTACATGACAGAAATCTAAAGCTGGCAAGTTCTCCTCTGATCTCTACATGCGCACATGGAAAACACAATCAAAACACACGCAAACAAACAAATGCAAATTTTGCAAAAGGACACAAGAAGACACAAGTCAGTGGTCGGGAACATGCACTGCTCTTACAAAGGACCCAAGCTCAGTTCCCTGGATGCAACCTGTGAGCTTTCTCTGGCCTCTGCAGGTATCTGCATCAACATTCACATACTAGAGACTGCTAAGTCTCAGAGACAGCAAGCTCCTCCCAGTTCTCCCAGAATCCCTCTGTACCTGTGGCTCCTCCCAGCCCCTCCCTCCCAGGGGCAGAGCTTCCACTTCCCTCTCCCAGCCTGATCCCTGTATAAAAGCCATTTGGGCTACTGCTCTTCCGGCCTCTTGGGTGGTGGTTCCACTCTTGCTCTCCCTCCCCGTCTTTCCTCTCATGGTCTGGTTTAGACTGCCAGCCATGTTCGGCCTGGACTCTTCCATCTACCTGCTTTCTCCCTTACATCTACGATAAAATCTTCTCCATACTTTAGGAGTAGCCATGTCCTCCTCCTTTAATTTCAATTTTTCATTCACAAAGACATTAAAGAGCCTTGAGACTGTTCAGAATACTTTTTCAGTATACTGAAATACTTAGAACTATACAAAATCTTCAAGTACAAACAACAGACAGAACAGCTGATACTTAGGGCTGAGCTGTAGCTACTCTATTTTATTAGGCAGCTACTAGGCTGAAAAGTAATGTCTTACCCCCACTGTTTCTCGGTTCCCTCTGACTTGCTTCCCCAGGTTATAGGTGCCTCCCCATCTCCCCCATTATAATAAATGTTCCATAAAGCTGCCCAGTTGACACAGTTACCTTCCTTTAAACAAAAATAGGCTAATCATACTCTTCTGCTGACTTAGGCAGAGAGAGGGGAAAAAACAAACAAACAAACAAAAAACCTCTGATGGTTCTTCATTACCTAAAGGTTAAAAAAGTTTGAACTGCTCTGAATCAAATACAACATCTTTCAAACTCTACCTCTATATCTCATTTTTCATTATTTCCCATCCTGTGCCTTAAGTTTCAAGTTTTGCTGGATGCTGGGAAGAAAAGGCACTACTGAGTTCATGGGTGTTCACGCAACCATTTAACCAAAGCATTTGTTTGGGAATGTAAGAACCCAGTGAAGAGCATGAGAAGCATGGAAACTGCTTCCTTCATCTCACGTCCTCCTTGGTGAACGCTGTGGACACTTTCTAGTCCGGCTATTCCAGAACCACCTGTGAGCCAGGCCCTCTACCTTACAGGCTCTCTCAAAGCTCTATGCTAGGTGATTCTGAAATAGACCAGAGCTGACCCAGTCCATGGTGGATGAGTCCCTGGGCTGCTGGTCCTGGTTCTATAAGAAAACAGGCTGACACTGTCATTAAGACAAAAAGGCAACCCACTGACTGGGAGAAGATCTTCACCAACCCTGCAACTGACAAAGGTCTGATCTCCAAAATATATAAAGAACTCAAGAAACTAGACCGTAAAAGGCTAATCAACCCAATTATAAAATGGGGCACTGAGCTGAACAGAGAATTCTCAACAGAAGAACTTCAAATGGCCAAAAGACACTTAAGGTCATGCTCAACTTCCTTAGCGATCAGGGAAATGCAAATCAAGACAACTTTAAGATACCATCTTACACCTGTCAGAATGGCTAAAATAAAAAACACCAATGATAGCCTTTGCTGGAGAGGTTGTGGAGAAAGGGGTACACTCATCCATTGCTGGTGGGAATGCAAACTTGTGCAACCACTTTGGAAAGCAGTGTGGCGGTTTCTCAGGAAATTCGGGATCAACCTACACCTGGACCCAGCAATACCACTCTTGGGAATATACCCAAGAGATGCCCTATCATACAACAAAAGTATATGCTCTACTATGTTCATAGCAGCATTGTTTGTAATAGCCAGAACATGGAAACAACCTAGATGCCCTTCAATGGAAGAATGGATGAAGAAAGTATGGAATATATACATATTAGAGTACTACTCAGCAATAAAAAACAATGACTTCTTAAATTTTGCATGCAAAAGGATGGAAATAGAAAACACTATCCTGAGTGAGGTAAGCCAGACCCAAAAAGAGGAACATGGAATGTACTCACTCATATTTGGTTTCTAGCCATAAATAAAGGACATTGAGCCTATAATTCGTGATCCTAGAGAAGCTAAATAAGAAGGAGAACCCAAAGAAAAACATATAGGCATCCTCCTGAATATTAACCTTCATCAGGCGATGAAAGGAAACAGAGACAGAGTCCCACATTGGAGCACCGAACTGAAATCTCAAGGTCCAAATCAGGAGCAGAAGGAGAGAGAGCACGAGCAAGGAATTCAGGACTGCGAAGGGTGCACCCACACACTGAGACAATGGGGATGTTCTATCGAGAACTCACCAAGGCCAGCTGGCCTGGGTCTGAAAAAGCCTGGGATAAAACCCAACTAGCTGAACATAGCGGACAATGAGGACTGCTGAGAAGTCAAGAACAATGGCACTGGGTTTTGATCCTACTGCACGTACTGGCTTTGTGGGAGCCTAGGCAATTTGGATGCTCACCTTACTAGACCTGGATGGAGGTGAGTGGTCCTTGGACTTCCCACAGGGCAGGGAACCCTGATTGCTCTTCGGGCTGATGAAGGATGGGGACTTAATTGGGGGAGGGGGAGGGAAATGGGAGGCAGTGGTGGGGAGGAGGCAGAAATCTTAAAGAAAGAAAAAGAGAGAGAGAGAGAGAGAGAGAGAGAGAGAGAGAGAGAAGAAAAAAACAGGCTGAGCAAGTCGGTAAGCAGCTCCCCTCCATGGCCTCTGCATCAGCTCCTGCCTCAAGGTTCCTGCCCTGCTTGAGTTCCTGTCCTGACTTCTTCAATGGTGAACAGTGACATGGAAGCATAAGCCAAATAAACCCTTTCCTCCTCAAGCTGCTTCGATCACGGGGTTTAAACACAGCATAACGTAACTAACAGGGGCTGGAGAGATGGCTCAGTGGTTAAGAGCAATGGCCACTCTTCCAGAGGACCCAGGTTCAATATTCAGCACCCACATGGCAGCTCACAACTGTCTATAATTCCAGTTCCAGGGGATCTGACACCTTCACACCAATGCATATAAAATAAAGTTAAATATTTAAAAAGAGAGAGACCCTAAGACACAACTTCAGAAAATAAACTACATACTCTTCAGAAAGATCTTTGAATACTAATATTCTTATTCATAATTTAGAATAGTGTTAGCTACAGGATGATCAAGAGTATCCTCACTGGCCAGGAGTGGTGTTGAAAGCCAATAATCCCAGCATTAGGAAATTAAGGTAGGAGGCGTGGGAGTTCCACGGTGAGTGTGAGGCCAGCCACAACACTAAAATAGAAGATCGTGCCCACTGTAAAGCACAGACCTGGAGATTTTACATGAATTGTCTTTTGTCATTTAGCTACCTCAGAACCAGGATGAGAGCGCACATTTACTGACCCCAGTGTTCTTAGTACTTCTAGATCCTGACACAGTATTTGTTCACTAGGAAATGATTTATAAGTGCTTGTTGAATGAGTCAGTTTACAAAAAAACAATTCTATATCAGATAGGGCAGAACATGTCTATCATTCCATAACTCAGAAGGCTGAAGCAGAGGATTCCAAATTTGAGGCCAGTCTAGGCTACAGGGAAGTTCAAGCCCAGTCTTAGGCTATATAGGAAACTCTGCATAGAAAAACAAGAACAAAAAAACAAACAAATAAAAAACAAAAAAAGAAAAAAGAAAAGAACAAAAATGTAATACAGAATTAAGACGAGCTACTTAATATAAAAAACACAATATCCATCCATAAATTTTCCTGAAGAAAGAAAGGTTGGTTATTCCCCTCCCTGTAGTCCTCTATATCATCCCTGTTTCCTAGCAAAGAGCTGTAAGTCCAAAGGGCAATTCAACAAAGTTACCCTCAAGTTCTTTAATACTGGTCTTGTTTCCAATGCGATGTCATGACGGAACAATTTACATATGCAAAAAATACATCTTATTATAGAACTAATGAAAGTCATCAAAACGAACACAAGGAAGGAAATGTTTTCATACCTGTCACATTGTTGCATTATGGAAATTTCTTTAATTATTTCCTGAAGATCTGACTCAACAGGTACTTGCTTAATTGCAACAACTTGACCAGATTCTTTATGTATTGCTTTAAAAACACTTCCATAAGACCTTAAAAAGAAAGCCAAGACATTATTTTTTTCATATCAAACATTGTATTAAAGACTACTGTGACTTTTATGCACATTTTGCATACTGTATTTTCTAACTTAAATCATCATGTAAATGATCAAAAGCAAAAGTGAAAAAATAAGTTAATGAAGCAGCTTTACTGTTCAAATTACAAACTTAAAAGTTATTATATAAAAAGAAAATGAGTTGCTATTTTTTTATGGTTAGGTGGAGCAAGAGGTGGAGGAGAGGGAAGGAGGCAAGCAGACTAACTTACGGTTCGTCAATTCAAACGCAGCTTAAAGAGATAGAAAAGGAAATTACAAGCATGAAAATTAAAAACAATCCACGCCCAAGTCTCAGGTTAAGAGAAAAAGATCAATCGAGCAAAAGTCCCAGGAAGACTTTCACTGTGAACCTTTTTTTTTTCTTTTTTGATTCTTTTGAGGCAGGATCTCATGCAGCCCAGGATGACCTTAGACATACTGTACAGCCAAGGATGATCTTATATTCCAAAGAGTGGGATTTCAAATGGGCACCACAACACCCAGCTACTGTGAACCATTTAACACTAAAGTAAGTGGAGAATCTTCAGCCAAAGCCCCTTCAAACGCTTTTTTCCATATTGTCCCTTCAAGAGAAAGACCACATGCTCATTCACATAAAAGGACTTAATCTCCACTTCAGCTCTTGAAGGTCTGTCAACTAAATATTCAGTACTTTACAGAGAAGACACAATGAAGAAAGAAGTCCTCTGTAATTTAATTATCAGCTCCAAACCAAGGTTTACAGCTACTGAGTTCTAAAAGAACACCAGGTACTATGACAGGGTTTTATAAGCATCATCAAGGTTTTTTCTCTCTCTATTATAAGAAAAAATATAATTCACATCACTGAAAGATGAGGATACAGACTCATAACTAACAGGTCCACACTTCATCTTCTGACCCCAGAGACCATGGTCTTCTCATGACATTGCTTCCTCAGAAAAGAACAAGACATAGAGGTTCCCTGTGTTTCCTAACATTATAAACACGCAATAATCACTCCCAAATTTACAATGTTTAAAATAAGTAGCATTGTCACAAGCAGTCAAGAAGATGGTTAACCAAATGAATCAATACTACATCCTGCTGCTTAGGCTCTCAGAAGAGACTTCATACAGTATGATAACAGTCACACTTGGGGAAAGAGGTGGCTGTATCTTTCCTCAAAAACTTGGGTAGAGGCCGGGTGGTGGTGGCGCACGCCTTTAATCCCAGCACTCGGGAGGCAGAGGCAAGCGGATCTCTATGAGTTTGAGGCCAGCCTGGTCTATAGTGTGAATTCTAGGACAGCCAGGGCTACACAGTGAAACCCTGTCACAAACAAACAATTGAGTGGGGGTGTATGTATATACAGAGAGGGGGGGAGAGGAAGAGAGGAGGAGGGAGGGAGAGGGAGAGAGATTACTTCTCTAAAAGGCAGTGTTACCATATCTATCATAATCTGATTTTTAAAAATTGACATTAATTGCCAAATTGAATTGGTATTACTCAGCTCCAGCAAACATACTCCAGCTGACGAGACGATGCTGTCATTATCCAAGAGACACTTTCTTGTTTGTGTACTCACCCTTCTCCAAGCTTCTCCAACACATCAAACACTTCTTCAGGCTGCTTAGTCAAACTGTCTTCACTCAGCTTTTTTAGCTTACTGATAAGATTTAAAAAGAAAAGAAAGAAAATACTTTCTTAAAAGCTTTTACAAAAAATGTAATAAGCATATAATCAGGTGTTCAAAATCAAATAATATGAAAGCTATAAAGCAAACAGTCTCCATCCAAGTGGTATCCCTCATGTGCCTAGGCAGCACACACTGATACAAACCTCTTCCATTAGTATAGAACTAAAAGGTTACTAATTGAACTTAAGCAAAGACAACGTTTCCGAAGTATTTGTCAAGTGAAAACACATGATGTACTTTGTTAAACAATTCATGTTTTCTGCCATTTGTTATTATTTCCTCTTTCTGGTATTTTAAATAAAAAACATCTTTTCATGTATGGTTTAATTTAAAATAATTTTTACATTGCCTGCTTTCAACACTCTTGGCTGAAAACAAGTTTTCATGTTGAGAAGTTGATCTAGGGCTGGAAGTACTGTTGTAGAATATGATTGTAAGGGGGTTACTTTTGTTTACACTGTGGAACATTGGTTTAATGATGTAAAGATGTGTTGCTTTTGTTTATGCTGCGATTGTTTAACTCTGTGAAGCTGTGGTTCTTTGTCCAGAATACCTGATGGTTTAATAAAGAGCGGAATGCCCAAGAGCAAGGCAGGAGAAAGGTAAGAGGGGCTGGCAGGTGGAGAGAATAGGAGCAAGAAAGGAGGAGAGTATCAGGGGCCAGACACCCAACCAGACTCGGAGTAAGAGTGAATGGAAGATATACAGAAGTAAGAGAAGGAAAAGGCTCAGAGGTAAAAGGTAGTTGGAATAATTTAAGTTTAGAAAAGCTAAGGCTGGACATTTATAAGACTGAATAAGATTCCATGTGTGACTGATCTGGAAGCTGGGTGGTAGGTACCCCAAAGAGTAAAGACATAGTATAGAAATGGGATAAAAGAGTGGATTGTTGAGTCTACTTTTGAACAACCACTAGTCTCAAATATTTTACACTGGTATGGATTACTGTATAATGATATAAATTTAAAGTTATTTTTGTTATACTGTGTATATGTTTCAATTCTTGTTTAAGGTATTGTACCTATGCAGTCAAACTTCCTAATAGTGCAATTCCCCAAGAGCCAAGCATTCAAACACATAAACTATGGAGGCAATCCTATTAAATCCTATTAAAACCACCACAGTTTGCTTTCCTCTTTATGTATGTGAGTACTTCACCTGTACTGTATACACGCACCACATGGATGCCCTCAGAGGCCAAAAGAGGATGATACATTCCTTGGAAATGAGCCGCCATCTGGGTACTAAAAACCAAAGAGTAGCAAGACCCCCTCTCACCCCAGCCACTTGCAGCAGGCAAGGCGGCAGACCCTCCCCTTTACCAGCTGCAGCTGGAAAGCGGGCCCTGTACCTCATCTGGGCAGCACAGTAGAGCTGTGGGATGGGGGACGGTGAACCAGACAAAATCATGACTTCAGAGATTTGGCACTGTCTCTCATCTGCCATATGGTGGCATGTGCGAGGAAGAGACGCCCCCCACCCTGCCACCTGAGGCCGGTGGAAGAGCTGGTCCTAAGCTCTAAAGAGCAGGAGAGCTGTCCCTGTCCCTCACCAGCTGCAGCACTTGGGATAGTGGCCCGTGTCCCCTTCATCTCGCCTGGGCAACACATAGAGCCTGCCCTGATGGTTTTGGGGTTGATGAGCTAACCCTGAGGACATGAGAGCAGAAGAACCAGTCCCACCTCTTGCTCATCACTGCACAGGGCAAACTAGCCAGGGCAATGCCAGAGAGCTCACTGTGGTGGTGAGGACCAGGGAGAGCTAGTGGGCCGACCAACCCTGCATCTACCCATGCGCTGACCCATCCCAACATGCACCCCATCTGTAACCTGCTGGAGCACTTAAAGGGGCACCTCCTGCAGATCAAAGCTGCAGGACTCCATGACACAGGGCAACAAGAGAAAATCCAATAGAAGCCCAAAGAGAGCCCAGCATTGATGGTGTAGCAGAAACCAGAGGACTCAAACCAGACCAACGACCCTTTGCAACGAATACTTGCAATTAAAGACATAAGGACTAATGAAAAAGAAAAGAGAGAGTAGCAAGCGCTCATAACCAGAGTTATCTCTCCAGCCACAGGTTTTTAAAAGGTTAAAGAATGTAGCAGTGTTTAATGGTTCTTTTCCCACTTCTTGTATGATTCCTGGTGCCAGACATCTTGTCATGGAGGACGTGGACATTCGTGTATCTTCTTTAGAGAAGTTTTCTTTTCAAGTCCTTTACTCTTGATTCTTTTTGTCGCAACTTAAGGGAAAGTGGCAATGGTTCTTTAAGTGTTTACAGAACACAGCAGAAAGGCTGTGAGGTCTGGATTCTTTGTCACTAAGATCCTCGCAGGCAGTGGGATTCACTGTGCTGCTTCCCTAACCCCCGGTGACCTTCTTTACTTCTGTGCTGTCAATGGAAATGTCCCCATCTTCTTCATCTAACCGACTGTTCTTTTTCTCTAATTTGATAAGAGTTTGTCAATTCTGTCTTTTTAAAGATTCAGCTCTTCGTTGACCTTTTGTATTTAGTTTCTATTTCTATTCCAGTCATTTATACTTTGCTATTTATGATCTATCTCTGTCAGCTAATTTGAATTTGTTCTTGTTCGCCCAATGCTCTGAGCTGAAATCTTAAGATGTTTATTTGACATCTTTCTGTTTATTTTTTTATTTAGGTTACTTGCCCTAGTTGCAGCTTTTGAAGACATAAAGGAGGCTTTCTATTCAGCTAGTTCTAGCTCCCCAGTCTCGGGCACATTGTCCGAATGCATACCTCAAAGCTGAAGGCTGCAGCTACATGTTGCTCGGGCATCGCAACACAGCACTTCTCAGGACCTGAGTTTGTTCTCTGCCATGGCTTTAGAATCAAAATATTCTCAACAAGAAACATTCTCTAGGCTATACACAGTGATAAATATGACTTGAATCTACAACAGCAAATGTCTTTTCTATGTCAACTACCGGAAGTACATTTTTATTCAACTAATAAAATTCAGGGGTCATTTTTTTTCTGCTCCTTTTTGCTTTTCAGAAGCTAAACAATTTATAAACGTTCAGTAAATGTTTATCTCTAGACTCCTATCTACCCAAGTGAAAGCTGTCCTTGTAAGCCCTCGGAGAGTAATGAATATCCCTAAAGACACAGGCAATACCACAACCCCATATTCTAAACATTTTGGGAATTATCTTCAAAAACATACACTTTACAACTTATATTTTATTTAATTGCCCTGTAGCCCCCAAAAAAGTACTATTACAGCCACCATTTTACAAATACACTAAGACAGAAAAGTACAATAACTGGCCGGGCAGTGCGGAAAAGCTGTGGTTCCCAGAACTAAGTCCTACCTGACTCTGATGCTCAAGCACCATGCTCCATAATGTGCTGACCACTAGAAAATGTATGAACTCGGGGAACTAAGTTAATTATTGCCACTACAATGGCCTAAACCACCTAAGAAAACAGATAAAGTAGAAGAAACTTTCAGAAAATAAAAGTGTTGTTAGCTCTGTCTCCTCTCAGACTGGGCTCTTTGCCCCCCAAAAAAAATCTATTAAATGATAGTTTCCTGACAAGGAGCTAAAAGAGAAAAGATTTGATTCCTTGATTCCTTTCTCTGCTTCCTCCCTAAACTCTGGTTTTGTTTTCTGAGAATGAATTTTATTAACAATCAGCTGGAAAGTGACATCATTCCTTTTTAATATCTTATAAGAAACTTACATGAGGCTAGATATTCCCTGCCATGAAGCATTTTACTGCCGTCAGTTTCTTGATTACTAATTTTCCAAAATCTGTAGGTCCAGAAAATATAGACAAAACAGACTTGAAAATGCACTCTGTAAATCCAGCACAGGGGCCGTCCTCATTACACAGCAAGTTCAAGGCCAGCCGTGGCTACAGACATATTGACTCAGAGGGGAGCTTGCTTCTATATGGCACTTAACACAGTCACCATGATGTGCCCATGGATCCACCACAGAGAGAAGAACATAAGCTGTCAAAGGCACTCTTTTCACGTCACACCTAGTCCTCATTTACTCCCCAAACCTCAAACACTAACCACTTATACATCACTGAAATAGCACCCAAGATCAACACCCAACAGAACCTTCACGTCATTTCTGATTCAGTGCCGTATACAGGTGTCATGAACAAGCAGTCTGTACAGACAGACATCTCTCTGCTTGACCCCTCAGTGCTATCCAACTACACAGCAATGTCACCCAGGGTCACCTCTGCTGTGGGACAATCCTCTTGTACACTGCAAAGATTTGTCACTCGGATTGGTTTAATAAAACGCTTATTCGCCAGTAGCCAGGCAGGAAGTATAGGCAGAGCGACCAAACTCAGGATGATGGGAAGGAGGGCAGTCAGGAGGTGCCAGCCACACAGAGGGAGCAGGAGATGAGCGTGCCTTGCTAACAAAAACACTGTCACACAGCAGAGCATAAATAAGGAATGTGGGTTAAAGTGTAAGAGTTAGCTAGTAACAAGCCTGGCCTATCGACCCAGCATGTACGGTTTATATTAAGCCTCCGAGTCAATTATTTGGAAAGTGGCTGCCAGGTATTTAGGAACAGGCAGGTGAGAGAAACGTCTGACTACACACTTCTCTATGTTCCATGGCGGTTCCATTCCTTAGAATCTTTTTAATCTCTAGAAAAACATATCAAATTTTGTTCAAAGCAATAAAATATCTTCAATCTCTATAAGCTAAACTGTATAGGTGTTGAAAAATGTAAGAACTCTAAAGTCCTCTACATTTACTTTGTACACAGATACACTTTTAATTACAGAAGAAACAGCAAGCTAAAACTCTATTCAAACCTTAAGGCCTGAAATCTGACCTTACCAATAATAGTAAGTCTTTTATTTTTCTAGACTCTGCACTTCCAAGTAGTTACCTCAAACATTTAAAGGTGAAACTGGGAGTTCAGATCAGAGTAAACAGAGAACAGTGAAAGTCTACAGTCTCTAGTGTG